TACACGATTTTGTTGATCTTGTTCAGTACATGGTGTATAGACAGTTGCTATTGGTGATGACTTGGAACAATTTGTTCGAAAACTGTAACAGACACAACCAACAATCGAACATGTTTCGTTCTCAGATGTTATCAGGGCAGTAGTTGAGGAAATCTGAATTGATTGGGGGTACGGTTGGTATACTGAATAGCAGTCCAAAGCCGACACATAGTTGATTTTGCAGAGCGCAATGATGAAAATAAACAGCATCAAACGAATAGTAAAAACCATTTCTGTCATATGAAAAGCAATCAGTAAATTGTTTAATGATGAAAAATACGAGCTAGAAGGACAAAAAAGCACAGCTGCTGTTTGTTTTCCTTTTTACCTACCCTTGAAAGAAAAAAAGAGCGGAAAATAGTCCAATCCTACTTTCTCCTTCTCTCATTCTATATGCATAAATAAAGAGAAAATATGTTATTATGTTGATCACTAGTTTATAATAAGATAAGAAAGAATAAAATGAATATTTCTTATTGATATATAGACTAGAAGGTTTCGAAAAGGAATTTAACCATTTTATGAGAATGATGCATTGATCACATAAACAATGTCTGTAAACATTCATTTGAAATTGTTAAACCAGTTTCAAAGACTAATGATTAATCGTGTCTTTTAAACGAACTATCAACATTCATTATTGATAAAAAGTAAACAAGAGAAATTAATAATTATGATAATGAAACAATTAAACTAGATGAATGAATAAATGATACAATTCTGTTATACTTTGTCGGGTCCCAATCGACAGTAATAGATTTGAATACTAAAACAATACGTGCACATGAATGTTTTTTGAAATAAACGCATGCGTGGCATCTGTTTGCTGTTCATGCATTGACATTGATTGTTAACATGTTTACCATTGACTTTGAAGACTAGGCAGATACCAGAAAGTCGAATGTCAATATTTCGGTCTGAGGCTTTGTCTACCACAGACAAGTCTATTTGCCAGTAGAATGCACTGAAAATTTCAGTTGAAGACAATAATTTCTTCCTGCAATATTAAGATTTCAAAACACCGAAAAATTCTAGCATATTTCGCAGACTATGAGCAATTTTTGGAACTTTAATATCTTCGGAGGGAACTAATCTTTTAAGTTGAAATTTTAGGATATTCTACTGACAAATAGATCTGTCTGTAGGCAAAATCTGAGGTTGACATATCGTTATGTCACATGTTAGTATATATCATGCGAAAATGTAAAATTCTAGTAAAATGCCTATAACTCTGAGCAGAATACCCAATGGAATTTAGCATTTGGAGATTTTTCCTATCTCATTAAGGTCTACTTTATAAACAGAAGCCGAATTTAAAATTGATTGATCAGTTGAAAAGGTTCTTTCATGGGTTCAAGCTTTTATTATGAAATTTTGGTGACTATTTTTCGTTTTGTCAGTAATAATAGATCTTTGAAAACTAAAAACAAGCATCAATACTCGACTCATTGTAATCAATTAACCCTCTCTCTAGATATGTCTTTTGCGTAATTCTGAACCAATTTGCTCAATCAAATATATGTTTGAACACTTAAAATTCAATATGGCATCTCTGAAAACCATGATCGTTTTCTAAAGATCCACTTGAAACTAAGCTTTCTTTATTATAGTTCGATGTGCTCCTGTTGATAAATATTATTTCATAATATCTGTTCGGATTCGCACGAGTTATTCAAGTTATCTTGACTTTGCTGTCTATTTTAAAATGCATAATAGTGTCATCTATCGATGAAAATAATCAATTCATTAGCATTAAAATATTAATAAGAAAGTTCGAAAAGAAAAATATAGGAAAAAAAATTATTTATTTATTTTTTACATACATTTATAATCTAAAAAACACTAGAGACTGTATTAATTTGCTTATGGCAAGACGTGGCTAAATTTCGATTTCATCGATTTGTAATATCATTCTTCAAATAATATAATTACCTTTAAATCACCTTTTTTTTTTTCTTAATTTGATTTATTTATCTATCCTAGAAGTATGTTAAAATAATTTTCAATACTTCACACACAATCAAGATTTGATTTCTACTAGAAAGAAGAAAACTTCTTGAAAGCATTTAATTTTTAGATAAGAGAAAAAAAGAAAAACTAATGTCGAATCAACGATCAACATCTAATGATGAAGATTTACTTCTTCAAGATTTTAGTCGAAATGTAACAACAAAATCATGGGTTTTATTTAGTGGTAATGCTGCAGTTGTTTCAGCTATTCCACTTTGTAAGAAATTCAAATAACAAAATTCTTTTCGATATAATAAATTCTTTTTTTTTGTAGGGCTCTTCTGGCGTATTCATCAAATGGATTTTTCATCATATTTCATTCATTTTATTATTGGTACTGTCGTTAGCACATATTTTCTTAATTTAGCTTATCAAAATATGAAATTTATTTTAAAACATAAGTTCGTACCTTTTTTGATTTGGTTTGATTAAGAGAAAACAAACAAACAAGAATTTTATTTATTTATTTTAGAATTGCACAAAAACGTGAAGAAGCTGTTAGTCGAGAAATTTCAAAAGTTTTTGCTAGTGATAAAAATGCAAATAAAAAAGATAAAGATGATCGGTAAGAAAAAGAAACACATTTGTTTATGAAATAAAAAAAGTTATTCTTTTTTTTGTTGTTAAATAGAATTTTAACACGTAAAAATGAAGTAGCTGATTTTGAAGCAACAACATTTTCAATCTTTTACAATAACACATTCTATCTTGTTTGTCTTATTGTATTATCATTTTTTGTTTTTAAAAATTTTTCACCAACAGTTAACTATTTATTTTCAGTTGGTTTATCAACAGTTATTGTTTTTCTTTTTTCTACCGGACAGAAATAGAAATATAAAATGTTGTTTTTGTTTTTTTGCTGACTAGTTTTTAGACATATATAACTTTCGTTTTTGTTGTTCTTTCTCATATGTTATTATGTTTGTAATAAGATGTCTTCTTTTTATTGATTATTAGCTAAGACTTGGTGATGAGAATAAAGGAAATAAAAACAGCATCTTTAATTCAACTAATTTTACATTAGTATGTCAATTGAATGAGAAACAATTCGACTGAAGAATTATAATAATTGTACGACAATGAGAAACTTTGATGTAAGATAATGAAGAAAAGTTTAATAACAACTTATTTCTTTTATTTATATTTTCTATCATGTTTAGAAATTCGCTTAAATCTTGATGGTGATTTCTAAAAAACTGGACACGGTAGTTTTCAGATCCTAGAAGACTAATTTTTAATAATGTCATTTTAAAGAGCACAAATTGAGAGGTCACCGCATTTCCTGTGGCCACCTTTCATTTTTTTGATAGATTCCGTTTGTTTTCACGGTTTTTATGATATTTTTGCTTTTACAATGAAAACTGGTAGAGAATGTGGTTTTGCTAGATGCTTAAAATTTCTCTATTGATTGATTAGTTTCGTCATTTATGATCGTTTTGTTGATCATTCTGAGTCAACGTACATTCGGTTATTTAATATTTTTACTATGGTTACTTCTATGGCGAGAAAAAGAACACATATTTTTGTAGTTTTTGCTAACATCTAATATGCATCGTTAAAAGGTAAGTTGACTTCATGCATACAATTTGTTAAAATTTACTAGGAAAGGTTTTCAACTGATCAATCGCTTTCTCATCAGAAGCTACCGAATTATGGATTATCAATCATACCAATGCTGATTATAAACATAAGGTTCTCCCGTTAGGTCTTTATATACTCATTTGTCCGACTAACAAACATTTTATTTTAAAAGTCTCGTATTCGTTACTTTTTGGAGTCGAATCATGACCATTTTACTAAACTTTTGACCTGTAATATTGTCTAATGACTTTGGGAATATTCTGAAAGTTTTAGCTGAAAAGAATATTTCTTTGTCAAAGTATTGGATTTCCAAGTAAACTCAATTTTTATGACAAGCGGCTATTTGTTAGCAATTCAATATCTTAATAAATAAACATTATTTTTGGCTGAAACCATCAGGAAATTCTAAGGATTGAATTTCAGGTCAAAAGTTCGTTAAAACGATCATAACTCAGCTTCAAAGATCCATGGTCAAAAATCCTTCTTTAGAAATTTTCTAGTCCTACTGAGATCTTCCTGTGGGTCTAATATAAGTTCCAACGACGAATTACAGTTGAAATAGTTCTCTCATTAAATTATCAAGTTGTCTAGAAGGCTATAGGAGTTTCTCATTATCATATTCGAGTTCAGCATGATCAAAATTCTATTAGTGTTTTATCTTTACTTTGTAAAAATAATAAATCATGAGTTTCGCTATAAAGCGCAAATGGTCAATATTAAATAATAATGTTTTGTATGTGACAATTCAGAGATGTTTCATAGACAAAATTTTTAAAACTAATCAATTTATCACAATCGAGTTTTCATTTATGGTAACAATTCGTTTGTCTCTTTTGGTTCGAACTTCGATTCGACAAAATAAAATGTTTTATATACTATGGTCATACATCAATGTCGAACCACTAATTCACAAGGGCATACATCAATAGATAATTAATACTAACTTCTAGTAAGACTCTTTAGGAGGCAATTTCGATTTGTAACAAAATGGTCTTTATCTGAACATTGACAATAAAAAGGCGTTTGTTCTTACTTTAATCATTCATAATGATTTCTTTCGAAACATTATCATTCAATTCTTCTGCTACATAAATAATTTATAACTAACAAAGAAAATTATATATAAAGATCCATAAAAAAAACCTTGAATGAATGGCATTTTATAACAATGTTCCTATTCTATATGTAATAGTTATATCTGTTATATATCATATATGATAATTATGTTGAACTATTGACTTGATCTCAATATTTGTCTCAAATAAAAGTATATTTGATAAGCTAAAATATTAAATAAGAAAAGAAAAAAAAACCAAGCATATATTCCTTTTTATGATCAAATCTAGGCATTTCTATTCAATACAAAATCAATGATGACAATTTTAACACTCATTTTGTTGATATTACTATCATCTTTCCATAGTAAAAATCTTTTTTTCTCAGTTACTTATGCTGCTTCATCATGTTATGCATGTAATCCTTGTGGAACAACATGGAATCCAGCAGTAGCTACAATAGTCCGAACAACAAGTCCTAATGATTATTGTCGTGTAAGTCATTATATTTACTGTGTTTATTAAAATAAGATTTTTCCATTTAAACAGAAAACCATAACTGGAAGTCTTGTCGTTAAAGATTCTACATCAATATGTAATTCAGTAAATGTTCTTAATAATGGTGTTTATTGTTGTCAAATAGATTATTGTAATACAGCAAATAAATATTCATTAAAAATGATTAATCTTGGATTTTTAATAATTTTTATAAGGACAATTTATTAATATTTATATTAAATTTAACTATATACTTCTATTGAGACAACATATTATGATCGATTTTTTTTTCAAACATTTATGACACGACAAAAAAAAAAGAAGATAGAATGTATTTAATAAAACAGATAAAAGCTAAAAAGAATTTTGTCGTTTAGCTTAGCAGAAGTTTATTTGTTTCATGATGTTTTAATCCATGATAAAGAGTAAGTAAATAAGTGAAGACACATTTTTTATCCAATTCACCATGTATAAGATCATCACTGTCAAGTAATGGATGAACTTGAGCTTTTTCTCTGTAAGAATAAAACAAAAGAAAATATTGACTATAAAAATAATAAACACAATGTTTGACTTACTCAGCTACACGAAATGCTAAATCGAAATTATTTTGCTTATTATCGCGATTTAATTTATAAAAGTCGAATTCATTCGGAAAATAATGATGAATTATGGCACAAAAAGCAAGACCATCAGCAAAATCAGTTGTAAAATTGCGTATTTTTACTGACTATAAAAATGAAAAATATTCAGAATCTTTATTTAAATTTGAACTATAGATATGAAAAGTCTTCTAGTATTTTCATTTGACTTTTACTATATTACATACTTCATAATTTCTAGTGACATTTTGACACCATTTTAAAAGACGCTCTTGTGCTTCTTTATAAGATGGACGTAAAGATGATGATGTCATCTAGAATAATATATTGTAACTCAATCACTGTTCAACACTGGAAGCAAAAAAAATCAGATGAATAACCATTGACGAGACTCACACTGACTGGAGTATGTGTGTGTGTATGCGTGTATATGCTTGAACTTAAAAGTAAAAAAGGTAATTATGGTGCCAGTGGTCGATTGTAATCGGGAGAGTGAACAACGAAAGATAGGTGGACCTTTCAAGAGAAAAGAAAGGAAAGAGAATTCATTTTTGTACGTCAAACGAGTGAATGACAATCTCTGTCTCAACAATAAATAATAGAGAATGAGTGACCTTTTTTTTCTTGATTCATTTCTAAAAAATGATTATTTAGTCAATGTGAAATGGCTATACGTTATAATCATCAAATAAATATATTATTTTTGTTCTTTGTTATGAAATAAATGGTTTTCTTTCTTTCTGTCTTTCGCTGTATATGAAATATTTCCTCTCATTGTTCTGAGCAAATCCAGAGTCGGACGTCATTTGTATAAAAGACAAAAAGAAACAGGCAAGCTAATGAATGCATGCATGAGAATGTTATATTCTATTGTTTAAGAATAAATAAATATTTATCACATTCGGAAAAAAAAGAACAGACTATTTTTCTCCTTTTTTTTTGGTAATATAAAGCAACTGAATATATCGAAAAACAAAATCTGCCCTTGGTTTACTTTAGATAATGTTAATGTAAATGTAATCGAAATAATTGAATTCAATTGTTGAACAAAAATTTAAACAATTCGAGACCTCAACATTAATCTAATGTCTATCTACCGATTTCTTTTTTTTTTTCGTTTGGTTGCATCTATTGACTGACGTCAAATAGAACAATTGATAGTATATAATCAATTTCCGGTCTCGCCATAGGTGTAGTGAATGGTAAATAAATCTTTAATCCAGACGACAAGTAAAACATTCATTGTTTATTTCACTATCTATACAATCGGATGTCAATATACAAAAAAGAAATCATCCTTACTAATCGAAGGTAGACCAATAATCTATATATCCTGTGGCAAAAAAAAATTTCTTTTTTACCTATTGTCACTTTGCAATCTTTGCTAAATCTTGATGAAGAATTGTTAGCAGGTTTATATAGTTTCAATGTTTATTGAAGTTAACAAAAGCTAATTAATCCTGTAACTCATTTATTATTATTATCGAATATGTCAAATGTAATAGTCCAGTGCTTTTTATGAAATATAGTTATTAATCAGTAATGAAATATATAGCAAGATGTTGAAATCTCATGAGAGACGTGTAACATGACCTCTGTGCAGATACAATGAGAAATTATTAATAACAAGTTCTTTTTTTCGATTACAGAATCTAATGAGAATAAAAAACCGACATAAACGTTAACGAAACAAGTTTCATTATATTTCATAGTGTAAATTTACATAAGTCTATTCCAAATGTTTTAATCACAACTTTGATCAGTTGCTTCAAAAGAATTTTACATAATATATGCTGCTTTCTTTTTTGTTTCCTTGAAAAAAAGTTGATTGACAGTTGAAAATAACAGTACTGCCTTAAAATAGTTCACATAACATTAAGTAAAATATTTTCTTTCCAGAATAATCGAACGAAAGATAACGCTCCCATCTATCAATATGACATGCCATAAAAAGGATAAAAAACTTCAATAATTTGTAATTTAATATCCATCTGTAGATCGAAGAGAGAAAGCAAAGCTTGAATTTACATTTTAAGATCAAATCTCTTATAATTGACTTCATTAACTGATATAAACAATATATATTTCCGCTTGATGTCGCTATCATCAAATCTATAACGAGAATCAGGTAGGAAGAAGAGAGGAAGACTAACCTCATTCGTTTAGCATTGTTATTGGTCAATTCATTACACAACAAGAATAAAAGACATAGTGCTTTTGTTTACAACTTTTTATATATCATTTTATTATCATCTTGTTCTTTATTCCAAATACTTAAATAATGTCAGCACCAAATACAAAACAAATTAAACTTGATGGTAATTATTTCTTTTTTTATCTATGATAAAAACGGAAATGAAATATGACATTTTTCTTTTCGTTTTTTTATTGTTTTCTAGAAGCTGAAATGCAAAAAGCATTTGAAGTAATTGGTGATGTTCAAAATGAAATTGATCGTCTTAATGAACAAGCCAGTGAAGAAATTCTTCAAGTTGAACAAAAATATAACAAACTTCGACAACCAAATTATAAAAAACGTTTGTTTTCTTTTTTTTCTATTAATTTTAAGAAAAATAAATAATAATAATAATATCATTATTAGGCTCAGATTTAATCAGCAAAATTCCATCATTTTGGATAAGTGTTTTTCTTAATCATCCTCAATTATCAAGTTATTTAGATCAAAATGATGAAAATATTTTACAATATCTTAAACGTGTTGATGTTGAAGAAGTAAATTAAAAAAACAAAAGAATTCTTTCTAATCTGCATATTTTTTATTGCTTAGCATGATGATATCAAATCAGGTTATCGCATTAAATTTGTAAGTCTAATTCTTTTTTTTAATGAAATTTTATTATTATTTTATTAATTTAGACATTTGATACAAATCCATATTTTGAAAATGATATTATCATTAAAGAATTTAGTGTAACCGAATCAAGTGAAACAACATGTAAATCAACACCAATTCGATGGAAAAATGTATGTAAAATTCTTTAAAATAATAAAAAAAACAAAATTTCTGTTTTGTTTTGTTTAAAGGAAGCTAAAAATGGTCAAACAGCAAGCAGTAGTAGCAGTAAGAAAAGTGAAGGTGAAACACGTAAACGTACTCATGATACAGAAAATAATAATAATGAACATGGAGCTTTCATGGCATGGTTTACAGATACAAATGGTGAAGCAGGTAATGATGAATTTGGTGAAGTTATTAAAGATGATATTTTTGTTAATCCTCTTCAATATTATTTGGTAATATAATTAGAACTCAATTTTTTTCTTTCTAAGAAAGATTTTGTATTCTAGGCTGCAACAACAAATGATGAAGAAGAAGGTAGTGGAGGAGAAAATGATGAAGAAGATGATCTCGAAGTAGGATTTAATTCGGAAAGAAAATCAACGAAATTATTTTTGATTTTTTGTCAATTTTAGGAAAAAGACGATGAGCAAGAATAAACCATTGGTTGTATATTGACATTTTCTGTTTGTTGTTAATCTTAACATTCTCTTTTTTTTTGATCGAATCATAACTACTTGTATGACATATTGACCCGGTTATATAAGTGTAAACACTATATGATCTTGTCTTGTATGCAAAATAAACAAGTGTTTATCCTAATAAACTGGCAAAGATAAAGAAAAAAGGAATATTTAATCTTCAAATAGAAAGTTGATCCGAATATGAGATACGCATATCTATAGGTAATTAAAATAATATTCACACGATGTTTTGATATAGTGTCGTGTTACAACCGCATTGGACTCCCGGTCCCACGAATGAACTCATACCCGATAATGCATGAGATCATGATTAAGCAATATATTGTACTTGAAAACAGATCATTGATGTGCAAAAATGATATTGTTTTACTCAAAGCGTTCGTTTTTAATGGAAATTCATTTACAGATGATGTATGAATATGTATGTATGTATCCACAATAATGACGGCTGGCACTAACATCGCATTCCATTCCAATGTTATTAGCAACAAGCAAGTGTATACTTAGCGAAATTGATCGGATTTTCGAAGTAGAAAGACATCAAGTGAATCCTGAATCAGTTGCTTTTTTATGGAAGAAACTAAATAGTATATTTTTTCATATAAAATAAAAGTTTGAAAATTGTACGGTGATTGTATAATTATTTGCTGAATGTCCATCATCTCCAGTTGGGTAACCAGTACAAGTAACCAAGTCCAATAGCGAAAAGGTCAGTATACTCTTCACTAAAATTCCGTGATATGTGAAATGATCTCTTCAGTATATATGCATATGCATATATATGATAAATATTTCGGAAGAGTGAATGAAGTCGTCCCCGTACAGGACATTAGTTTGATGATATATTTAAAAACAATGTTTTTCTATTAAGTTAAATAGATTGCATTATACATGAAATTTTATCTCGCGGCATGACCAAACGTTACGGAATTTCATTGTTTTTTTTTTCATTATAACACGTACATCTCGACTATGAAAAAAGTAAAAACTAGGAAATTTTTATCATAGATACAATTTCAATCTACTACTAATAGAAGTTTCATTAATAATTTTTAGCTGCAGCTGATAGTCTGTCACTAACTCGTGCCTGATTGGTCTTTCAATCAAGGTCCATAAGAATAACAATTAGAGTTGAGTGTATCTACAGGGTGATCAAAAAGTTTCCTAAACTTCGATATATCTATTTCGAAAAATGACATTCTTTCCGTCTTTCTACGCTATATATTAGAGATAGCTGTTGTGATATTTCATGAGAAATTTCATCCTTTTAATTCAGTCTTTTTGAATATCCTTTCGAAGTAAACAATAGGCATTGAATTTGATCTCCTTGGTTGTTACTTGCATTTCGATAGTTTTTTTAGCCTTCAAAAATTTGGAGAAGTTTTTAAGCGATGAACAGATTGTACGTGTTACCATTAGCAGTTATCAGACATAGAGGTGCCATCGCAATATTGGATTGCAATCATTATGAAAACTTAGGTTAACAAGAGAAAATATTCCTCCAAGCAATATCCATTGTTAAAGATATCAAATACAATAATACATGCCAACCATATAATGACATTCGAATCATTAGTTGACACCTAGTGCTATCTATAGGAGCTAGTAAAACGTATCTTCATGCTCTAGTCCGATCACAACATGAAAAATAATGCCATTATTTACTTAAAAGTGAGAGGAATGAAGTTAAGACTCACCAAGTAAAACCACCTAAGACTGGGCTTCCAGGATCTTAGTCGTTGAGATGTATTCAAGATAGACTAAATAATCAACAGCTATAACAATTGAGCAAGGGTAATAACCAAAGAGGTCAATTCAATACCTATTGTTTACTTCGAAAGTATATCCGAAAAGAGTGGATTAAAAGGATGAAATTTCTCATATATAGCGTAGAAAGTTGGATAGAATGTCGTTTCCCTAAATAGATATACCGAAGTTCTGGAAATTTTTTGATCATCCTGTTATACTCGTATTTTGGTGAGATGGCTATCCAAAATTCAAACTCACAATCTATTTTACAACCCCAACATCGATCTATTCGAAGCATATGGGAGAGGAGAGTTCGACAAAGTACAAATGATCATCAAATCCAGTCACAAGCATTTACTCTTTCCACATTTAGAAGAAAAAAAACTATTTCTGACACGCATTTTGCTTGTCTTAATTAAATGACAAATAATGACTTAGTTAGGGATGGATCAAATCCAAAAACAATTAAGTTTGAGGTAAATCAATCAGAGATCAGTTGAGTTATTCAAATAAATAGTGAGCGTTATAGAATTTCAAAAAATAAAATTTTGTTAGAGAAGCTCTGAGATTAACTTCTACTCTGAAACACAGCGACATACCAAGAAATGTTCTATATAAAAGTTGTTGAATTTTGAACATGCTTTAACAATATAAAATCATTTCATAATAAATATGATTACATTGTACAAAAAAACTAAAAATAATACTACTTGTTACGAAATTTCAGTTTTTGCAAAAAATACACTTTGTATCAGAATAAAAGCAATCAGGTATCCATTGTCAATGTCGAATTCTGTATTAAATAGTTTTTTCTTCTTAAAACCCAATGAAAAAATCAATGTCGAAGTTTTGATCAACTAAATAATTTAAAAACATTACAAATTTTGAATACTTAAGAAATTCCCTAGCACAATATTTCTAGAAAATAGATGCGAAAATTAAATCAAACTATGCTCAAAATGGATGTCTTCGACAGAGTGTTCATACTAGTTACAATCAAAAGCAGTAAATCCGAAAGAAAAGGTTTGTTCTCTTTCAGAATATTTGTTGAGAATTTATTTTTTTCAACTAAAACTTGATTAGCTGTGAGTAAACGTTTGAAAAGTGACATCGGAATAAAGAACTTTAAATTGTTGACTCTATTCGCAGTTTGTATATATTGCATTTGTCAAAAATTATCAATCAATGGTTAATTTATTTGATCGTAAAAACAAGAATATCTTTGAAATCAACATAAATTTGATGACAATCAAAACTAATGTCTTTTTGTATAAATCATTGATTAGATTTATCCGTATACATATCTAAATATCGACATTGAGTTAAATTGTATTTTATTAAATCATCACGTGGTATTAAATCTTCAAATGGTTTCATGATCTTTTGAAGATCACGTGCTATCTAAAAAAACCATTGAAATTATATTTTAAGAAAAGAACAGAAAAAAGATAAATAAACTAAATATACTTTTTCATTTTCTTCTATCACTCGTAAAATATTTCCACCAATTAGTTTAATAATATCATCATCAGTCCAATTTCCTTGTGATATTAAATATTCAATAATTTTCGGATAAGTCGATACATCTTCTAGACCCTCGGGTGTTCTAATTTATACATGAAAATATGGATTAATAATAAAAATAAGTAGAATAAAATGAAAACATACTCATCAATACCATCATAATCAGCACCAATACCAACACTATCGATGCCAGCAACATTTCGAACATAATTAATATGTTCTAAATCAATTTTAGAAAAACAAAAAAAATGATAGTAGAGTAAAAATTCATTTTACCTGCTACATCTGGAATTTTTACAGTATATTCATTATTACATGTTATAAAACCTGGTGTAAATGCAACCATAACAATTCCACGATTAGATTTCTAAAAATATAGGAAAATTTAATTGCAGAATAAATTTGTTTTTTTCTTAACTTACAATTAATTGAAGTACATCATCTTGAACATTTCGTGAATGATTACATAAAGCCCAAGCTGATGAATGACTAAAAATAACTGGTGAACGAGTAATATTTAATACATCAAGCATAGTTTTTTTTGAAACATGTGATAAATCGATTAACATTCCAAGACGATTCATTTCTGTAATAATTTTCTTTCCAAATTCTGTTAAACCATTATTTTTTATTAATATTGAATTAGCACGATCAACTTGATTTTGATCAGCCCTATAATTAATAGATTTCACGAAGAAATTCGAATTTTATTGAAAACAAAAAACACAAAAATCATACCATGGCGTATTACAATTATGTGTCAATGTCATATATCGTACACCCATCTGATAGAAAAGTCTTAAAATTGAAAATGTACTTTCAATAGATTGTCCACCTTCAACACCGAATAAACTTGCAATACGTTTAGCTTGAAATGCTTGTCGAATTTCATCAGCTGTTTTAACCAATTGAAATACATCAGAATATTTTTCTATTATTCGATTCATAAGATCAATTTGTTCCATAAAACTTATTATAGCATCTTTTCCTTGATGAACACAAGATGTATAGATTGACCAAAACTATTCATTTAAACTTATTTTTTTATGAAACATCAACAAAATATCAAAACAAACCTGTCCTCCAACTAGACCTTTTCGTAAACGTGTTATATCTGTCTGAGATGGTGTATTATTTTTTCGATCATATTGAGTCATATTATACAAATCATGATCAGATATATTATTTCGAAGAATTGCTCGAATAACACTAGCCCAATCATTATGACTAGAAATATATAATCGAATATTAAAAATAATTAATGGTATGAACTACTCATTTGATTATCAATTTTCTCTGAGAAACGCTAGAACGTTTAGAAAAAAAAAAAAAAACTTTTTTGACAAGAAAACAATTTTCTATAAAACAAAAATTTAATATAATTTATACGAGATTCTATTTAGTTTTGATTAGAAACTACAACAGAGGCTTAACTCTTGTAGAATTAATTAACGTTTTGAATAAATGAAGTGTAAAATACTATGTGAGAATTGATCAAGTGAGATTATGTCAAGACTAGAAATGTGTAGGAGCCAATTTTTTAACTTCTCATTCCGATAAACCTTCAAGCTTTCGTCTTGGTGATCGGTGTAGAATACAGTTCAATGATTCCTAAGATATCGTGTAGAATCGAAACCGTTAAATCATCAGATAGATACGAAAATTTAATATCTATTTTGGAAAAATTTTTCACTATTGTTTAGTTGAGATTAAAGACGCCACATATTTTAGTATTCAAACAAAATAATATTATACATATATATTGAAATCTTTAATGTCAACAATGAAAAAACTGGAGATTTCTCGATATACATTTCATAATTTTTGTATCTATGTGATGCTTTAACAGTTTCGGTTTCAAAATTTCCGTACTCAGTCGAGCTGTACTTTGATACTCGCAAGAAATTCTTGAATCAGTATTGAATAGCAACCTTGAAGATACGAAATACTTTTTCATGTATTTATTGATCAGAGCATCGTACACATTTCTTAAACGATTAGAGTACATTGGGTTCAAAAATTTTCGGAATCAGGATTAGAATTGGTTCAGCACGTCTCGAATCAAAATATGTATTGCAGCAATTCTATTCACCTGGAAAAATTTGACATAACCTTCTTCCTAGAAAATCAAGAGTTTTGACGAATTCTTCTCATATTCAAATAAATGTTTTTAGTATCTTCGAGTCAGAAAACTAGAATTTCTACCAGAAAAAATAAGCTACACGTTTTATGTAAGAGAGGTTTTTATATGCTGAAAAAAAAGAACGTTAGATTGCTGAACATGATTTTTCGAAAAACCAATGTTACTCTATTCTGATTTCTTTGATTCATAAGAAATGCTGAAATTGAAAGATGATTTCTTATTTCATTCTATTGTCCTTCTTACCCATCAATTAATGGATTTTGTGTAAGAATATCACGTGCTCGTTGTTCATTTGTTTTTTGCTCTGATTTGTGTCGTCCAGCAACAACTCCTACTGTAACACCCACAATAACAGCAATAGACAAAGCAATTCCTACACTACCAACAATAATCCAATGTCTTCTTTCAAAGACCATGATTTGTTACCTGATATATTTTCTTCTCTGTATTAATATAACTTATTCTTCACCTTTTCATAATGTCGCAAAATAAAAGTATCTCAGTAAGATAACATTATCAAGCAAGGACCAAAAATAAAAGAAAAAGATTTCATATAAAGCTTTTTTGTCAATAAACTTACATTGAGACTAAAGTTATTGTTTAAAACAAAAAACATTCTTTTTATCTCTTTAACATTATTTAAGTATTAGATTATGTATGTATTTTTGCGTTTATTTATACCTTTATTCATATATATGTTTATAGCTGCTGCTTTCACACACACACACACACACACAAACATTCTGCTAAATAATCAACATCAGAAGAAAAAGAAAAGGAAAACAGAGGAGTATAAGTGTATATATATCACGCAAGTTTGTGTTTTTTACAGAAATAAGAAGAACAAAAAAAAGAAAAAAACTGAACATATATAAATAATCTTTCGTTCATACATCGTCTTCTTGCATAAATAGAGATTAATGTTGAACGAGAGAAAAAAAAAACTCTCACCGGGTTTAAGGTTGTTCATTAGAAACGAATGCAGTAATAGTTAACTAGTTAGTTTTTTTTTTAATATGGCACATAAACAAAAATCTTAATCTCCATTTACTTTTCTACGACATGTCGGACATGAATCATTTTCCTATTGAAATTAAATAATAAAACATATTTCGTTCTTATATTATAAACTTACACTAAGCCATGTTGAAATACAATCAAGATGAAATAAATGTGTACAATGTAATTTATTAATTATTTCTTGATCATTAAATTCTGTTAAACAAATAGGACATTTTTCAACTAAAAGTATTGATGATGTTGATTCTAATTTATTAATAAATTTTATTTTTGGTAATGCATTTATTTCATCTTGTGTTAATCGTGATGGAAAATTTAAATTAAGTATTCGAGATAAACGTATCATACCCTAGATAAAAACATGGGGATTTTCTTTTTTTTCGATCTTTAGAAAAATAAATTTATTATTTATTTACTTCAATATTTTCAAATTCATTTCGTGTACTAAATCGTCCATAAATAAGACCAAATACAAGTTGATCAAAATTATTTACAGCACCTTCAAGAGATTGTATTGAATCAATAACAATTTCAATAGCACGATTAAGACGGACATGTGCTACACCACCATTAGAAAAATCTTGATTATCTATTGTAGTTGTACTTATTGGATCGGTAGATGTACGAGAACTATAGAAACAAATAAAGAATTTCATTTGAAAGTTGTTTATTTTATTTACCGTGTATTATGAGCAGTACTAGATGTTGATCTTGCTGTACGACGAGGCTGTACTTGTGATCGTCTTAAATTATCATCATCATCATCAGTTACTAAATTAAAAGTTGTATTAACAATAGATGTTGATGATTGTGTAGTTGTTATTGGTTGATCATCATCGTCTGATATATAAACAAGACGATATTGTCGTGGTTGAATAATAGATGATGTTGGTTGTTCTTGTTGTGTAGTAGTTGTAATGGTAGATGGAATTCGTCGATGAATACGACGTGGTGGTACTGTAATTGAATGTGAAGTTGAAACTTGAGGTAAATGAATTTGTGATTGTGGAGGTCGTGGTCGTAAATTATATCGTTGAGAATTAGTTGATGTATCAATAGATGGTATTCGTGCTGATGATGACTGTCGTGTATCAGGTGTTATTGAACGATTTCGAAGTGAATAATTTGTATGTGATTGTACGGAAGATGTTGTTGATGGTGGATTATTACGTTGACGTTTAGGTGGAGCTGTATTCATTGGTTGAGAAGAAACGATAGTTGATGTTGATGTTGCTTGTTCATGATTATTATTACTTTCAGAAACATTTGTTGAACGGGTTCGTTTTCGTGATACCGTCGAAGTTGGTGGCGGCATTGTATGTGTGTGTTTTAGTAAATAAACAATTGATTAATATCAATAAACAATAAAACGTTAATCTGTAAGTAGAGTATGAATAATGATTACGTTGATGAACCCGATCGATGACCTACGTAGTTAAATACCACTCGGAATGGTGAAATTAGCTTGTTTGTTGTTATTTCTGTGTCTTTTCAACAGTTCATGATATAACCAATGAATGATGTTTGGATTATAGATGGCGCTAATCACAGAAGACTAAAAATATATGTAAATCTATGAGACAAACTTGTTGATCTTTTCAATCTATATGACGATATAGATTAATAAACGTATGAGGAAGGAATTTAATTAATAGAAAAAAAACAAACAGATTTTGTAAGATATTTAAAACGAAAAAATTTACAATAAAATTTCTTTATCCAATCCTGATCAAACAAAGAGGACCGTTTACATTGAATACGACACATTAATGGGAACTGTATTTCTACGTTACTATAGGACCAATAACACATGTAATAAATTGAAATTCATCTTTCTGTAGAGTGTCTTCGAAGAGACGTTTATACAACGAATATACAGAAAATAATTTATTAAAAGTTTTTTCTTCTTCACGTTCTTATCATTGGATATCTCATACAATTGTAGTACAAGAACAGTTTATACAGGCAAAATTAATTAGTGGCTTCTAGTCTTTTTGATTTTTTCTGTTTAGATTGATTTCCTCGATACCTATTCTAACACAATGTATGCTAGATTATGTGAATGATTATTATTAAATAATACAGTAATGCCTACTACGACAATATTGATATGCTTCTGTACTAGAGATGTGCGAAATCAAGTTTGGTTTTTATCTTTCTCTCAGCAGCTTCTTTTCTAATGGTTTCAGTTATGACCTCGGTAAACCTAATTTGATCCTGACCCCTATCAGATACATCTCTATTCTGTACACTTTAGATGTTAGAATGACTATTAGATAGTCAACGTTATCAAAGAATCAAAAGCACGTTCATAAAATTTGAATGCTTTTGAGAAGTTGTCCATGTTTGAAGAGACCGTGCCAATGTTGTTGTAGAAAGTAACCAACAAGTGATGATTTGAAGGAAAATTTTTTTTTTCATCAATGACAAGTAATTTTTTTTCAGGAAAAATGAAACTATCCCCAAATCTTCTTTAATGATGTTTGAGAATTCTAAGTTCGGAATAAATTATCTGCCTTTTATTATTTATTACTTATATGCTATAATATAACAAAGTAACTTTGCTTTATCTCCTTAATAAGACTACTTAGTTTTTCGATTGCTATCCATCATTAATTTAACTCTTACTTAATAAATTTAATTATTGTACTGAGTAGTCTTGATTTTACTAATACGAAATACGATGTGGATTGAGAAAAGAACTTTTGGTTTCGTTCAAAAGTAAATTATCTTATTTACAACGGCAAGCAAAACTAATGTAGCCGAAAGATCAATATTGATTTTATCTAAGGATGTTCATCAAATAAATCTTTGTCAAAACACTGATCACTTACTAATAGTACATAAGAAATTATTAAATGACACATTGACACTTTTTGTTATTTGAAAATTTTTCAAAGTCAACCGCTGATAATTCTCTTCCATGATATACGATAAATACTTGTGTCCATGTTTTTCATCGATGTGTTATTTAGAAATGGTTTCAATTTGATTATGAATATTACCAATAAAGAAGCGTGTTTCCATGAGTGTCTAATTTTAAAGTAAGCAGAACTCAATTGAGCAGAAACAACGATGATATTTATTTTCAAACCAACTGATCTTACTCATTAATCAACAGTCAGTAGCGAAGTTATTGATAATAGACTGTAGGCCATAGTTCCTTCCTAGAAGAACTTCATGAATTATGTGAATGTATATAAATCAGAATTGCAGTTGACTGAATGTTTGTTTGACAAAGTTTCGATCGACTATAATTCAAGGATGTTTATTATTGCAATATACACCTCCGTAACTTTAGAGCATTATGTGATCTATTTTCCATGCTGTACTTGACAATTACAATAAGTATAAATGAAGCACAACAGTGGTATTCTATGAATTTAATGTATAGGACTCGATATTGACATAGTTCTCTTGATGAAAACATGAATATCATGTGCTTGTTAATTTTGGTAATGAAATCAATGAATTCATCGGAATTGGTGTAAAAATTTACGCCATTGACAATATTTTCTTGTTTATTCTAGCGAACCACTTTAATAACTTTTTTTTTTATTCATAAATAATTTGTATTCATTCAAGTCAATCGATAGTTTCACATAATTCTACATCTTGTTTGAGTATTTTCTAATTTAACAGATAGTAAAGTTGCAGTTACAGACTTCAAATATGTAGAAATGTTTTGTTTCAATTATTGATTGTTCATATTGCTGTTTATATAGAGAGAGCGATTTTTGTATACGATGTTGTCAATAAATGATTTGTCTGTGCTGAAAAGAATAGAAATCATGTCATCCATTTATATAGAAATACTTTCTTTTTTCTAGATTTATTTTACCATTGTATTTGTTTGTGTCTCGTTCACGTGAGTTCCACTTATATTTTTATTAAAAATGTGATTGAAAAGAATAGAGAAACTTAACGAACAAATTTTGTTAGCAGCAACAGAACAAACGATGAAATTGACGTCATATTTCATTGTATTATTATTCTATCCAACTTTCTTTTTCCTATGTTTACACAATTACTATGATGTTTATGCATAGAGTAAACTGTCTCGATTGAAAAGTTTACATGAATAATAAAATCTCTTTTGGTAGAATGTTTTCGACAGTCTCTGCTTTTTTCTCTGTATTTGAATAAAAGTGTTTATACATTAAAATTTTTCACAACAATTAATATAGAGAAGCAATGGTACAGTTGGATATCTTTGACTATTGAACTCTTTTTCCAGCAAAACTATTTTAACCAGTGGGCAGCTATGAGTAATTTTCACTATCTTGAAAAAGTTTCTGGGTAATGCGCTCCAATGGTCCATGACTGATTACGCTGTAAGATTGGAAGATCTTGTTGAACACAAAAAAATTACATCAGTAATATTAAACAAATTGCTCTTGTGGCAAAAAAAGAGATATTTGCGTTACAAACAATAAAGTTAGAATACGTGACTATAATCAGAATTACGTACACAATAAATAACATAAACAAATCGCCCAAAGAACAATTAATTAACTTATGCATTCGTAGCTGCTCTAAAATCCAAAAATAATTTAGCAGACGTTGACCAAATAATTATAGGACTTTCAAATACAATCAATTGACTATCTATCGAACATATTCCTAGTTTTGACATCATAGATAACCGATGTAGTAGAAAAAAAAGATATACATGAGCATAAGCAAAGCACTAATAATATTCACAATCATATTCAAAAAGTCATAGGGACACTTAAGGATACACCCTCCCTCTTTTTTCACCATTTCTGGAATTCAAAGACGGTAAGTTCGATCGAATTGAAATTTTTACTACAGATAGAACACCTAAAATGATGAGACACGTGTTCGAGGGAAAAATTCTCTAAGGAGGTTTTCATGGTTTTTTTATGAAAAACCTTGGTTTTCCATAGGTCTCACCTTGCCAAGGAGAACCCCTTTCTAACTTTGTCCGATTGGGCTGAAATTTTTATCATAGATACTTTGAAGTATTCTCCAGAGGTAGTTTTGGCCGTTTTCATTTCTGATCCTCTCTTTCAGATTTATAGGGTTCTGAAGATCAAAAACTTGGTTCTGGCAAAAACTTTTACGTATTTTTTTTATAAAAAAAAAAGAAAGTGATATTTTTGAAAACGCTTAAAACTACCTCTGAGATATAGTCGTAGCTGTCCCCAAAAAATTTTTCAGCCCAATCGGACAAAATTGGAAGGGGGTTGTCCTTGGCAAGGTGAGACCTATGGAAAACCAAGGTTTTTCATAAAAAAACCATGAAAACCGCCTTAGAGAATTTTTTCCTCGAACACGTGTCTCATCATTTTAGGTGTTCTATCTGTACTAAAAATTTCAATTCGATCGAACTTACCGTCTTTGAGATCCAGAAATGGTCAAAAAAGAGGGGGGTGTACCCTTAACATACATATGAATAAATTCTATCAAGGCTCCTCTACCTACTCTGACAATATATTGCTTTTCGTTAATCATGGATTATCCAATGAATCAACACACCTCGATGATACTATGATCCCTCCTTACTCACCTTGATGTATTTTTCTGTATCTACTAATTGTAATTTTCCTGTAACTTTTTTCTTGTAGAATATGTACTAGAAAACTTTCACGAAATGTGAATGGTTAAGACCGATGAGATCAGTCTACTCAAAGAAAGTCTTTTATAACAATTGTAATAAAATTTTCAGAAACAACTGAACGAAAGAGACAGATTATCATGTTTTTCGATTCACAGCCATCCATCTGAAGACGGTGTTTCTTCATATTGTTTCAATCGACTTATACGAAGCCAAAAGTGATGAAAGCTCTTTGGTGTGGATGTGGGTTAAGAGAGGGGCGATGATCACAGCAATACCCACACACACAGGCACTTGGAAAATCTAAAACAAATTCCTTATAAAAATAAGCCGAGATAAAAACTGATGTGGTTCACATTGGTTAATGGAAAAGGGTACTCATTATTTTCGTTCCATCATTTCGATTCGAAATAAAGTTTATTACACTTCATCGAAATGTCCCTTGTAATCAATGAATTTGTAGTGCACCAATTTTTATGTTCGTTCATGATGCAAAATGCTATGATGTTTTTCGTATTTTTGATTTCAATACAGGCATGTTATGACATAATTTGATAGTTTCAGCCCATGGACACCTACACCAACATTCAAAGGATCTCATGGTTTAGAAGAACCATATGAAATGACGAATAGCATTTTATCGTGATCTTGTGGCGTGTACGAGAATGCATTCGGCTGTTAACTGGAGGAGAGATAGTTTTGTTTCCTTCATCAATTGTGATGCTCGATCCTTT